ATTGTTTTACCACATCTCAAGTCTAATCATTATTGAAACAGTGTTTCATCTTTCACGTAGGTGCGAGATTAAGCGATAAAATTATTGTTCCCGATAAATAAACCAATTAGGCTTGATTACTAAAATGTTGAACTATTTTCACCAGTTGATCGTTAAATATTTGAATTAACTGTTGGAAGCGTATGTTCTTCAAAGACTCTTTGTCTTTTTTTTTCTTTTTAGAATGAAATTTCAAAGAAATTCCATAAAATGGACCGCCAATTCGAATGTATTCCATTTATAAAAATGTGCTACGTAGGTTGCTCCATAATTTTTTTTAAAATGGTACTTATAGTGTTGCCCGATGTAAACCATTGTCATATTCGTAAAGTTTGATGTTTTGGTATGTATTCGTGCCCTGAACCTTTTGTCGTACGAACGCTATTTGTATTGTTTACAGTGACTGGTAAACTGCGACTCAACAAAAAAATGAATTTTACACGTGAAGATTTTCGTAAAATGATTTACTACGATTTTCGAAGTAAATTATCTCAACAACAGTGTTTCGATCGACTTCATTTGGCCTTTGGCAATGAAGCACCAACCCTTCAGACAATTTATAACTGGTACCGAGAATTCCGTTGCGGTCGTAGTTCGCTCAAAGACGAGTTTCATATAGGTCGTCCAAAATCGGCTGTTGTGCCACAAAACATCGATGCTGTCAGAAAACTGATTATGGAAGATCGTCATGTGACCTACCGTGAGATTGAGGCATCTTTGGGCATTTCATCCCACAGCATACATACAATTTTGCATGAACATTTAGCCGTAAAAAATATTTGCTCTCGTTGGATCCCACATAAATTGACCGATGAACAAAAAATGGCTCGTGTGAGTTGGTGTAAAGAAATGCTCAAGAAATTCAATCGTGGTGCTTCAAAAGACGATAATAAAATCGTCACTGGTGACGAATCGTGGATATATGCCTATGAGCCCGAAACGAAACAGCAGTCGACTGTATGGGTCTTCCAAAATGAAGATAACCCAACGAAAGTTGTTCGAGCAAGAAGCACTTCGAAGCGAATGGTCGCCTGTTTTTTTCGGGAGAAGTGGTCATGTGGCAACCGTTCCACTAGAGGATCGTAAGACCGTCAATTCTGATTGGTATACCACCATTTGTTTGCCCGAAGTGTTTGGTGAAATAAGAAAAAACAACCACCGTCGCAAAATAATTCTTCATCACGATAATGCGAGCTCTCACACATCTTTTCAAACTACTCGATTTTTGACCGGTCAAAACATCGAACTGATGGGTCATCCACCGTACAGTCCTGACCTGGCACCCAATGACTTTTTTTTTGTTCCCAAGCGTGAAGAAAAAACTACGTGGTCAACGATTTTCGACACCAGAAGAAGCAGTTGAAGCGTTCAAAACACACGTTTTGGAGATATCAGTTTCGGAGTGGCACGAATGCTATGACAAATGGTTTCATCGAATGCAAAAGTGTATCGATCATCTCGGGGAATATTTTGAAAAACAATAAAACCATTTTCGACAAAAAACAACTGTGTTATATATGTTTTTAAAAAAAATTATGGAGCAACCCTCGTATAAGTAAACATTGTTGTTAATGCCGTTGAATTAGCTGAAAGAGCTTAAGGTGTGGAGTTGTTAAAAAAGTAATTTATATTCATTTTTTTTCAAGTTTTCTCACTTTGAATGGATCTCCTCACACGGCTCAAAGACCCTTACTTTCTGAATCAATTTCGTGTCGTTTTAAATCGCACTATATGGATACACATAGCGAGAAAATGGTCAACATACCGGGTACAAATATTTCGATAAAATAAATACAAAACCCATAAATAATATTTAATGATTTTATTTTCAAATGTGTTCAATGTACATCTATATGAAAATAACAGAGAAAACGTGATGAACTGAGAGTGCCAACGACATTTATTATACCCGAGTTGAATGGAAGTTTACTTTTTACAAATTCATTGTGTGATAACCAGTCATGGAATGGTTTCGTGAGGATTTTGTTGGGCTCGCGATCACCACATCAAACACACACACACACACATGCACATGGGAGAGAGATATAGAGAGAGAAAGAGTTTGAATCATATTATGAACACATTCGCTTTTGGCCTATGGCATACATAGCATTAAATTTATTAGGTCGTAAAACAGCTGCTGATCGCGTATTTATGGAAATTTACATACGATTGAAATGAAGAGACTGTCACCATTGGAATGAGTAGTGTCTCCCTCTCTTGCGTTCGCTGTCATCTAGTTTTGTTCATTTAACCATTAATTATTTTAGTTTGCCTGTATATTTTTCAATATGGTGTTCACATTCATCTTTCTTCTTGTTATTTATAAATGGCCTATTTGAAATCGATTCATTCAATTTTTGCATTATTTACAATTTATTTACCGCATATATTTTCTTGTGTAATCACGATGGATTTTTATGCGCCATTTCAAATGGACTCGGACCACAATGCACGGTCTGTAACCGTTTGCCATTGCTGTGATGCTGATGTTGTTTGTGCTGCTGCTGGCGCTTACCGAAACGACTTCATTCAATTCATCTTTTGTATGTTTGAAAAAAAAACGTGCATCGAATCTTGAAATTATCTGCAAACCACATCGCGCCACGTAATCTTAAAAAATGCAACGAAATGTAAATCATAAATCTTTAACCGCCGTATAGCGAATCGTATTGCATTTTCACGGGGGGAACACAAGTCAAATGAATCCTTTATTAGTTGATCTTTCACATTTTTATATATTCAAAAGCCACACACAAACGGACGTAAATGAGGCGCGAGAAAGAAAGAAAGATGAACAGAAAAAAGCACGAGAGTCAAAAATCAACTTCTCTTTGGAATTTACGGTGCAAAAGTCACAAATTCACAACTAAACAGAATGGGATAAATCTCTTTTTTAAACAAGAGAGAAACCACAGAGCCGAATTCATTAACACGCCACACATTAACTTCTTTCCGCATCATTTACGTGAGGATTTTTTTTTATACCAGCAAGTAAATCAGGATCGAAAATTAACACCAATAACATTTGCGGAAATCCCTCTTGATTCAATGCGAAATAAAAGATCACAAGTAAATTGTGATAAACTGAATGTTAGATGCAAGATCACATAGTTACAACACACACACACACAAAGTCATATTGTTTTGTTATATTGCCCTGTCGTTTTTGTCATCGAAAAAAAGCAGATAAATGGAATAATAATAAAAAAAGATTGAAACAAAAAAACGGTAAAAAAGGCAGCAATAGAATTCCATCTGAAATAGAGAGCGTCAACAGAAAATCATCTGCGTATGCATTGTGGATATATTTCGTTTTAATATCGATGCCAATGCGAACAATATCAGCCTCTTTTTTTGGTTCATTGTGTGGCAGACCTCAGATGCCATTGTGCCCGACGTGTTTCGATTTCAATTCAAATAAATAAATAAACGAATAATTTTCTATTGAATAAATGTGACAATAAAGAATGCAGAAGTGAAAATGAAATGTGGAACCACCTCGTGTAACAACAAAATTAATAATAAGGATCTGACTTATGGTTATGTTTTGACACATAAATGTACGCAAAGGAAGGAAGATACGATGGTATAGTGGTTGACATATCACCGAGAAACATAATGCAATGAATGAGGAAAAAAAATGATACACGCAACAACAACAATAAAACACAATGCGCTCATTGAAATGCCAACGTATATGGGATGAAATGTAAAGTGGAAAATTGCATGAATGAAGAACGAAAAATGAACAAAATGCGAAATATTTGTCTCTCTTTCGTTCAGTTATGTGATATCAATTTCAACTGAAATGAACGCCAGTGAAATATGTTTGCCAAAAAAAAGGACGAATCGTAGCACAAAGAAAGCGACCAAACAACAATAACTGACACAAATGAAGCGACGCGGATGTTGTCATAAAAGAGGTCCATTTTTAAGAGTAACAAGAGGAGAGATTCTTTGAATGCTTCTCTAATCGTTGTGTGTGCGTGTATCTGTATGATTTGGTGTACTCTATGCTGTGGTTTGCCAGTTTTTTTTTACTGAATCTTTCTCGGTCAAAAAGAGTCTTATTCGCATAGCATTTCTAACCATTGCTTGTAATTCGGTTAAGTAGAGCTCATTCTTGGGTTAATTCATGAAGTCAAGAGCAGCATTTCCAACTAATCACACAAATTTCTATAGCGATATAATGAGAATCTGGTTTTTTTTTTCGATGTGATCGACATGCATTCAACTCGTGAGAATTACTGGATTTCGCGCGCATAAATACTTTTCAATACGTACGATTTCAACGATACTTTAATTGTGACATTGAGCAATCATTTCACAGAATCAGCTTTTAATTGTTTCGCAGCATCAATTCGATTCGAAATTCTTCTTCCATTTGGAACGAGTCTTAAATTTTGGCCACAGCCAAAGAATTTACTAAAAAAAAAATAAGTACTATGTAGAGGCATAAAGTACTGTACGAAGACAATCCGTAGAAATTTCGCGAATTGAGTTTAAATGATTCAAAAAAATGTATACATTCGTATTTAATGCAAAAAAATCAAAAGGAATGAAGCAAAGACGTTTTCGTTCCTCAAACCATTAATTTACTGTTACACTTTGGCTACTCGTCTTCAGTCAATATTGCCATGCATTCATTCGTCGCGGTCCATTTGTATAAAATCGATATACACACATTGTCGATTTGAAACCGTTTCGAAACAAAACCAGTTTGTCAGATTTTTTAAACCGAAAATGAATGATTGGAGAATACGCATCGTATTTTTGAACTACCTTTACGAAGTGCTTCTCGACGAAATTTACTGCCGAAAAATTGATTGAGCTCCATTTATATTATGCACATTTCACATATTTAAATGCACACATTTTTTCCGTTTAAGTTGTTTTTGGATTTACAACAAAACTTATGAACAATTTTACAGCATTTGTTTTCTTTTGTATGGACTTACCGGCCAGTTTTCGTTATTATCATTTCCGTTCCTAACTCGTGAAATTTATCCCACAATTCTTTTGTTTCCAAGTGACATTGTACCGGTGCCAAATCATCACAATTACAGGAGTTGGTTAGCCGAGATTTTGTCTAAAGAAGAAAAAAATATATTATATTCATCGCTTGGATGAAATTTCTCTCTTTTCATATGACTTTTTGCCATTTAAACGTTATGGCTTTATAATTGAGTGTCCGTATTTTCTTACCGAAGTCTGTTCAGGTGATGATCGTTCTTCATCCGATGCGCATGACGGTGAAGCTATTGATGTTTGTGCGGTTTTCTGTGTATTTCGGGTTGATTCTGAATCGCTGCATTGTTCAACATCGACCTCATCATCTATTTCTGCATATCGATCCACCGATAATGGACCTGAAAAAATGAATTTCATTTCACATTTTTAGATGATTTCATATTATCTCCATTTGCTTTGTTTGGCGCATATCAACTGGCGCCTATTTAAAAATAACTAATTGCGAATGTCTTCACAATATTACCAGCATTGATTATGCTTCTAGAGTCCTACTCTAACAAAACTTCTGTTTTTTTTTCTCACAAAATGAACGTCTTCAAATGGCGTTCGTACAATTACTGAACATTCTTCTGACAAAGCAGAAAGAAGAAGAGGAACATGTTAATTACCGTACAAAAGTATGACATTAAACACATACTTTGACATCGTTGATGTATTGCTGACAAAATGATCGCGCGCTATATGCGCTTGTTCTTTGATAATACGATTTTTTTTTATTCCAATGAATTAATTTTCGCAAATGATTAAAATTTATACTTTTTTTCAAATTGGTTTTTCCACATTTTCTTAGCAATAATCGACGGTTCTGGCTTCTACGACCATAAACAAAAGTATGCAAAAAATTAAAAAAACTGGATATTGAACGATCAAGTTTGATACTCGTTTCAACTGAGACGGAGATTAATGTGAAATTTAATGCGGTTTTGTGTTAATGTTAATAAATTGCTGCAAATGATCGTGGCACATTTGGAGTGAAATGAATAAATTCTGAATTGATTGCAAACGGTATCACAGCGGGACTATCAAACAATGTGAAATGTTTGATGAATGGCATTCGCATTTGTTGGATGGAAATAAATGTGTGATTCATCGATCAAGTTCTATCTTTGTGGAATGGCAAATTAAAAAAAAAATGTTTTGATGTCTACTTTACCATAAAAAAATTATATTAAAATTCTGGTTCGATAAGAAATCGGTACGTGTGACACAACATAGCTGGCTGGAGCCGAAGAATTTTTAAATTGCAATACGTGCGCATTAAAAAAGTTTCGAATAAAAAAAAATGTGTATAAATTTCAAATTGAAACTGGGTCACTTCATCAGCTCAACAGTGCCTGTAATTCTATTGAAACGATTACGATCCAAATTCCATATTTAAATTAATTACGCCTTGGTGTACATTTTTTTTTCAAAAGATTAGCTTTCAGCGTGTTTTTTCCTCCAATTTTTTTTTGTGTCTGGATTTCGCGTGAAACATACATAAAATATTTATGGTGTTTACGACAATAGCGCATTTAATTTCAGCAAAAAGAAGTAAACCGTCTAAGAGTTTTGAGCCTATTTGTTCAGTTGGGAAAAGTAACAATCAAATAACTCATAAACAAATAAAATCAACAGAACAATAATATAACAGGCGAACAAAATGACTTGAAGAAACGTTTAATTTAATTCCTCATATGTGTGGATATATAACAGTTTTTGTTTCACGTTGTACATTTACAGCGATTGCTGTTTTCGTTGAGTTATTATTGTTTTTTATTCTCTTCAACAAAAAGACCTCAATTAAAATTGTTTCAATTATATTTCTGTGCATTTTTGCAATTAGTAGTTTTGTTAATGGTATTTGGTGGATTTTAACCTCCATGTGAACAGCGACTGTGATTGTTGCTGTAACGAAATTCTATTCTAAATTTTATGATTTACAACGTACTTTCGTCCGACATGCTCTCCGTGAAATCTGCAAATCATCACAACATTTCTCACAGGCGAGTGAGAGAAAGAGAGAGAGAGAGAGAGAGAGAGGGAGCGCGAAAGAAGAAAAGAAAAAAAGGTCGAATGTAAAATGCCTCGTGTTTATGATCACCGGCAATAGCAAATGAATGCGATAATTAAGAGTAAAATGTGCACACTTCAGAAAGCTCTTACACGTGTAACTGTAAATCGATTCTAATTGCGGAATGCATCGAATTAATTTTATTATTCGTTTTGCGATCGAGCCGAGATTAGATCGTATTGCATTGGATGTAAATAATTTTTTAGGTGAACAAAAAAATATTTATACAAGAGAAAGAATAACGGCCACGTTATGAGAAAAAGTTGACTCATGAAGGTTTACTTACTAGAGCTACGTTCTGATGGTTCTCGGCTGAGTGAGCCTCTGGACATAATAGCCGCAATTGAAAAGTCTGTGCCATTTTTTGATGCAGCCACAGCTGCCGCAGCTGCAGCCGAACTGCAATGATTTGATGCTCCAAGCAGCATGATACTTTTACTATTATTTGTTTTCTTCTGCCGGCTCAGGTGCACGAATTGTCATTTATGGAAATTTCAAATAATAACACTTTTCACAAACTCTTTTCTATTTGTCACTTTATTGCCATTTTCTGTTCGGTAAATAAAATAAAATCAATTTGCTCCTCTTGATTTAGATGCTCGATGATTTTGACCTTTGTTCTTGATTATGTGTCAATGATTACATTTCATTCTTTATGCCACACATCACATGCATAACATTTTGCCACAAATCATTGGATTTAATTCGATAATAATCACTTAATAACTGACACACAAGAGATAAATAATGACAACAATAAGTAAATAAACGCCGAGCACAACGGAAAATGTATATACTTTTGCTCGCGAACACCCACTCAAATGCGCATTTATGCGATATGTCACTATTTTTTGTTGTTGCTTGTTACTAATTTTAAAATATGCACATTTATTTTATTGCACAATTTTGATTTAATTTTTTTTTATAAAAGCATTTAGAATAAAATGTTCATTCAATTTACTAAAAAAAAAATTTTGTTGATTTTATGTTGAAATTTAATGTGGTGACAATTTGTATGTATCAACAGTTTTAATCGATTTTTGCACATCGATGCGAGCACATGTGTGAATATCATAAATTAAATTCTTTTGAATGTTTGAATATATCAGTGTCTGTGTAATAGAGAAATTGTGTTTGCACGTGCATCTTCACAGTTGAATATTTGAAAAATAATCTCAAAACAATGGAAAACAAACAAAAGCGCTGTTGAGTTTCTCAAAAGTTATAACACACATCACCGAACGGAAATTAGAGATGCAAGAAGAGGGCGTAACAAACGAACAAACGAACGAGCAAGCCGATAAGTGTGAGCCTGAAGGCAAACAATTGCAAACTGATCCCGAAATCGACAGCCAAATGAGACCAGATAATAGACACAACACTCTCAAATCAACACCCAACTCTCCGATATATGTGCGCGACTATTTACCGTATGCACACGTCGAGTGTGAGTACTTAACAATGATGTTCGATATGAGTTAGCGAGCGCGCGCTCGTTCACTCGGTCTCTCTATCTCAACGGGAAGTGATTGCTGATTGGCGTAAGAGGGATAGAGGAAATGACAAACTTGCTGGCGCAATTGTAATTGTCACCATTATAATTCGAACTGACTTTTGGTATAGAGTGTGACACACACACTCACACTGAAAATGTTTTATTTCACGTCAACAGTTGTTAACTGAACATCGATTGATGCGGAGAATAAATGTGTTCATCCTTCGTATTGAAGCTTATTTTAAAAAATGCGGCTAAAAATGTTCTTTAATTGATAATGTATTGTTCGTTCGATGAAATGGCGTCGTTCGTTTATAATGAAATAAAACAAAAACAACTCTTTCTCAAGATGAAAATGGTTAAATAGTTGTTCCTCGCTCTTGATCCAAAATTGATGACACGAAATAAAGACACAAACGATGACTACGTTGAAAATGCCACCACACGATGACTTATCTCCCAATATGTAGTTGAACGATATTAAATTCGTACAGGCAAACGTTCGTTCGCTTTTGCTGTCCAATCGTGTATATGTTATATTGTCAGTGTGTAGTTGTGAATTGTTGTTGCTGTTGTTGGCTTCCTTTTTCGATTCACTGATGTTAAACTCGACGTTTTCGCCACGTTTTGTAGACAATGCTTGCACACATAAATACACGTCGTTAAATTGATGTACATATGTATCTCATAAAGCATTTCGTTTACTCCAACATTTTTTTTGTGGGCTCTCCATCAAAACTTAAAACTAACTCACCATCGTTATGTACGTATATAATATGAATGTATCTCTCGGTTCAGAGATTTGACTGGAAAAACGCGTATATGAAAAATATAAAATATATCGCAAGAAGAATCGCAGCGAGTGGAGAGAATGAAAAAAAGTGTAATGTAAGTGAAAAATACGTTCAAATACGTAGCACATTCACGAGCGCACGATCAACGAACGAAAATCGAATAAAACAACAAAAAATTTACACCGAACAAAACCACAATCAAATCAATTTCTCGAGACATTGTACTGCATATTGCCGGGAATGAGTATGCCGAACGCGCTCTCTTTCTCTCTATTTCACCAACACATCCCCACAACCGACAATCTATATAATAAATAATGCGCGAGTGGAATAGCACAAACAAATAAAAATGAACGAATAGAGAGAGAGAGAGAGAGATGCAGACAGAAAAAACGCAGGAAAAAAAAACAACACGCAAACAGGCATTCAGCACATTTTCATTGATTCAAAAGTGCTTCTTGTTTACATAGACGGTATTAACGTTTGGGTTGGTTTCGTTGTTTGCATGTTGTTGCTTTGTGTGCGCTGCTTTTTCTTTCGTCTCGCTAAATTCGAATTTTTATATCAACTCAACAGCATTATTTTCATTTAAATAATGTTCTAGGTATATGCGAATATTGCTTTCTCCGAGAATATCTCGTTGAAAAGTCAGGCCACATGGCGGAACGAATGTGTGCAAAGGAGATGGCAAACAAGCCCAACAAACCATCATCATCAATGCACACTCTCCTCTCACTCTCTCACTCTCTTCACTTCGTTTGAACTCTACATCACAATCGAATTCGAATCACATACATACATTGTAACCAACCAAGCACCCAAATGTGGCAAAAGCCATGCCAAAGAGAAAGAGAAAAAAACTCCTCCTCTTTAATTGTTGCTACGATTTGGTGCCTCCTTATTACATGTTATGTGCTCAGCCCAATAAATAGAATGTGGACGACGGTATTGTCGTCGTGTGCGCTTTATTGTTGTGGTGAATGCGTTAAACACCAACATATGGATCTTTCGTTTGTGTTACCGATACGCACACACACTTCAATGTGCCAACAACCAGCACCTATTCCAGAGCCCATTTAACCTCTTTTTTTTCGTTGTATTATTTCTTGCCTATTCGCTATGCATAGCATCGTTCAGTTACCGCATCATCGGTTTTCAATTCTTCATGCCATTCTCGTTTTGTTTCGATTTCTTAGTTTGTCCATTTGGACCCAAAGTTCTGCATTTAATGATTGAATAACATCCACAATCAACCAAAAAAATATATATATTGCTATCAAAAACTTCACATTCCAAAAGAAAAAAGAGATATTTTACAAATATGAAAATATATGATATAAAAGTTCATTTCTGTAACGTCGACAGCACAAACACAAAAAAAGCCGAAAACCTCTCGGATTCCTCTCTCTCTCTCTCTTTATCAGATGCTGAAATACATTTGAAAAATCCTCGCAGTCAATAATTTGTGTGAGCAAAGAGATAAAGGCGAAGTGTGAAAACTTTAGTCGAGCTCCGAAACGACCACCGAAGAAAAAAAGATTAGATTTTATATGCTCTATGTGTATGTTGCACACCATATTCAAAAGAGAGGTAAAGGGCGGTGTCATTCACAAACGTATTCTCCTTCACTTCGAAATCCGATGTATTTACTTGTACATATGAATGCGCGCACGCTTAACCGTGCGTTTTATGTTCGAAAATCCAGCGTTAACACAAGAGGCTTGCGTTTATATACAAAAATACTTTTCCATGCGGCACCTATGCTTCGACGAAATGCATACGTTTCTTGGCATATATCATGCATGTCAAAGTGAGTGTGTAACACAAAATCACCCATCGTTCCTGGTAGGTAATGCCTAGACATTGATGATGTACGTGTGCTTTGTGCAATTCGAAAATTTAATATTCGATGTGTATATATGAAATTTTGCGTGTATCCACACACTCCACAATGCCGACAAGCGATAAATATTTCAATATGAAAAGATGCATGTGAGGAACATTCAGAATGTGTGGCGTATTTCCTCTTCTCCTTCTCTCTCTCTCTCTCTTTCTCTGTCGCCCTTTACTTCTCTGTTTCTCTTTCGTCCTTATCTCAGTGGTGTTACAATTTTCATGTCTTTCTTGGCAATTTTCCATTGCTCGACCAGTACATAATGTGAATAAGCGATATGTCAACATGGTAATTTTGAGCACTCAAGTATTTTCCTCGGTAGATTCATAAAATAAGAAGAGCTGATGAAAAAAACAACGACCAAAATGTATTTATGTACTTGTCCTACAAGTTTGACTCATGGATTGAATGACAATGGTGATAGTGGAGATGGTGGTGGTGGTGCATGACTGACTGTATATATGACGTAAATGGACCCGTGATTATGTGTATTTGTATAAAAATGAAATACATCATGCAAATTGGAATGTGTCAGAATGTAACCAGATAAAAGAAGAGAGAGAGTGCAAAATGAAGAAGAGGAATGAACGTACATGAGCAGTACATTCTCCATTCACTCTGAATGATTTCATAATGGCGATGGATAGAGTGTAAGATTTCATAGATATGGAGTTTGAATTCGGTATATACGCGTATATTCAACTTAATCTGAGGACCCTTCATCATCAACACCAACGCCAAAGCTATTCACACTACATGCGTTCTATTTATTTTCTAGATTATCTTCATCCTCTTGACTTGGATATTTGGAGATCCAGTTTTCGAGGCTCTCGTCCGAGCCGGACTTAATGACTTGAGATTGGTGTATGTTCATTGCATACAACAATGTTGGTGTTTGTATTGTTGTTGTTGCTCTTTCACCAGTCGCTTTGTGTTTAAATGGCAAGAAGAAGGAGTTTATCGATTTGCAAACAATTTTACGCCGTGGTATATAAACATAACACTCAATTTGAAGTATCTTTTCGCACATTATACATATACCGTTTGGGGAGGCATTTCAAACGACTCTTGCGACATGATTGCCAGCTCTTATCCGCGCGCACACACACATACAAATTTATTGTGGTGTCAATCTTCCATCTCTCCATCTCTTCTTGTTCTATTACCGCCGCCTAACTTACACAGTGATATTACATTTGTTGTGATTGTATGCGCTCTCGCGAATGTTATTCGATTCACGTTTACATTTTACCAAGTATTTGGGCTGTTATTGCTGATGCTGCCGCCAGTTATGGTTATTTCTGCCAACTGTTGTACGAACACTAAAAAACCATGGAAATGAGAATATTCATCGACTAATAGAAGTCTCCGTTGCCGTCATCGTTGCCACCACCACCAGCACTCCATCAAAAATGATTCACAAAGAGCAAGAGAGAAACGAATAAATTATACGAGAGGGTGGGAAACGTTATCATTGGTAGCATATGTATCTTGTTTTATAAGACTCCAATAAACTCGTTTGCAATGTCGTCAACGTGCATTCAGGATCCTTTTACGTTAAAAAGATCATAATATCAAGTCGAAAAAATATATGAAGCCGTCACATAACACCAACTGCAAAATGCCAACGCAAATTATTGACAAAATTCACATTTTACAAACGTAATAAATATACAAACCCAGCGAACAGCTCCTTTTGGCACATCTTGAATCGTCGA